ATTAGTGTGAATTAATAGGAGTTTAAAAATAAACCAAATTTCCATTTGGCATCCGAATAGGTATTTTAAAATATAAATATCTTGCAACCCATAATTTGGAATATTTCCAAATTAAAATAACGTCAGACGCATGAGGATGTTGTGTAAACAGTGTTTTACAATGCTTTATCCATTCGGCAGATTCGTGACATCACACAACTTACGCAATATTATTTGTGTTTTCTGGTTCTATCTTCAATTATCACTGGGTTAGTTAAATTTCCATCACGCGTTCACCCATAAAAATCCACTTGTAGAAGTGACTCAACATTTACGTTCGTTCAGAGCAGGGTCGGCAAGTAGTTTTAAACCATCTGCAACGAGTACAGGCACTGTTACCGCTAGACTTTCCGAACCGTCTTGAATTTTGCAATTGGATGCTGGAAATGGTTAGAAGAAATTGTGACTTTCTAAAGACAAGATCGGGAAAAGATTATTCATTTTCATAATTACCACATATGGGCTGATAAAAACCCTCACGCTATTGTCGAAACTAACCATCAAGAACATTTTTCTCTTAACGTGTGGCTCGGAGTATTGGGGATGATTTGATTGGGCCTCATTTTCTACCTCCTCGATTAAATGTTGAGGCATACGTTCAGTTTTTAAGAGAAGTGCGTCCAGTACTGCTGGAGGAATTTCCTTTGGGCGTCAGAAGGGATATGTTTTTAATGCATGATGGGGCTCCCGCCCATTTTAGTCGAGTAGCACGTCAGCATTCAACTGAAACATATGCAAATCAGTGGATAGAGGTCGAAGAGGACCACAGAACTGGCCCGCTCAATCCCCGGATCTCAATCCTCTCGATTTCTCTATTTGGGGCCATTTACAGCATGTGGTTTATCGTACTCCTGTTCACGATGTAGAGGACTTAAGAAACCGCATCATCGATGCGTGCAGGATAATCAGAGAGACTCCAGGAATATTTGAGAGAATACGAGGCTCAATGCGCCGACATCTAGACGCATGCGTAATGTCTGAAGGTAGACATATTGAACATTTACTATGATTTCTACATGTTGTGTTTTGTTATTAATAAATTAGTTTTGTTTATTACTCTTTAATCGTTTAATGCAGGTACTAACTATAAAATAACAATAAATCCAGTTCGTATTTATGACGATGTATCTCTGTAGTTGTTCGTAAAATAATTTTTTTCTGCGTATTGGTTTATTTTGATCAAAAAACCCAGAGGACATTTTTTGTTCAGAATGAAACATACTATCAGAAATAAATTTTTAAATGGTAAACAAATAATAAGACGAAAAGTTACATTGGAAATAAATTTTAGGGGTTGCGTTTTCCACCCTTTACAACCATGGGGTAAACCAAATAAATTACTGGATAAGTGTCTTTTTGGTAGTACAAAACTTCAGATTAATTTCAATATTGTAACTTTTTCAGTGCTTGTGAAAAAAATTGTTTTACAAATTTTATGTACCCCCTTTAAGGCTGTATCTTAACAAGGGATGCTCCAATGAAGTTTCTTTATATGAAAGATCCTATCTTTTTTTCGATGAGGAACCACCTCCTTAAAGGTTTTACACTTATTCAGTTACACCCTGTATTTCCTCAACATCTAACCTGACCTCCGAATTCTAAAAGGAACGTATTTTCGAATATTTATTTTTGTAAAAAGTATGTTTCCTCAATATCTAACCTGACCTCCGAATTCTAAACGGAATGTATTTTCGAACAGGAGTAGTTGTTTCAGAAGAAACCCCCCTTCCTTTTTGTGAACAAATTACTTATCTGTGAAAGATACTATAGATACACATGCATGCATGTATGTATGTATGTATGTATGTTTGTGTGTAGGTACCACTAATACATTTTTTACAATCAAATGCATTTTCATTTGAGAGTTTCAGTTACTAACGTTTGTGAGTCGCTTATTGAGTATGGTTTCTTTTGATCTGGATAATTTTTCTATTCAAGCGAGTTCATACATAATTTCAAACTGAATTTGATCATATTTGGAATTTAGACGACTCCAAATCCAAGTTCAAGAACGAATTCAAACAATATTTGATAAAAAAAACATTTTATTGCGTTTCTGATTTTCATGATTGACTTTTTTTTTCAATTTCCACCCTGTTCCACACTGTGAAGTGTTATGGAACAAAGTTATTATTATTGATAGAAGTGGTGCAGAATTTTGTAATAATTGGATGGTGATATTCAACAAATGAGATATGCTGACAAAAATAAGATAATAGTACTTTCACTTATCCCCGCTTTCCATTTTCCGTTTCACTGGTTCCGTGGGAGATGGCCGTTTGGCGGGAGTTGGCCATTTTTCGCTTGATGATGGGTTTCCATATGTTGGGTATTTCTACGCAGGCGGGGATAAGTGAAAGTACTCGAACGACCTATAAATAGTCATCTCTCGGAGGAATCAGTCCCGTCATCACCCGAAGACGATTGTAGATACTAACAATAGAAACGTCTTGAACTAACGTGACTTGTAATCTCTCCACTTTTTGATTTCTATTTTCATTTCTTTATTTTTATTTATTCAATTGTTCTATTTTTACTTTTTATTTCGCTATTATTTCATTTCAGGTTAATTTTGCTTAGTATAATTGTTATTTTCAGCTATTCATTTTCAATTCTTCTTTTTTAGTTGTTTCAGGGATTTCAAATCATTTCATATAGTAGACAAGTAGACAATGGAAGTCCGAACTAGTGAAATTTAAGCCACTGATTGTTGAACCTATCTGTACGATACGTATCCGTTTTCAACTCCACATTTCTCGGAACCGAATTCACAGATTTTCTTATATCTGGTCAAGCAACCGATCCAAAGGCTCCTGTGGCAATGCTGAAGAGTCATTCTCTATCTTTCCGTTCCTTATATATTATATTTATTGAAATAGGTAATCCTAATACACAATATTATATAAAACATATTACTAACATAGAAATTGAAAATAATTATATAAAAAAAAAACTTGAAATATAGATATAGTTCAAAATTGAAAATAAAAA